CGATCATGTTGGCGATCCTGTTTTTATCAGCAGCTGCACGAAAAAGTGCTGCTGAGTTTTGTCCAAACCAGTCCCTTAGATTCTGAAGTCATGATGTTCTTCTTCTGGCTGGACCTCGTTTGCCTTCAACCTTTCTCTGGAGGATTAAATGGAGTATGCCATATTTTTCTCGGTGTCGCATCACATATCCGAAATATTCTAATTTTCATTTTTTAATTGTTTTGATGATTTCCCTTGGCTTTCCCAGGTGGCTTATCACCTCCTCATTTCTGATCTTGTCAACCCATCTGATACGTAACAGTTGCCTGTAAATCCACATTTCAAATGCTTCTAGTCTCTTCAGGTGGCCTTCTGTCAGAGACCAACTCTCTACTCCATAGAGCAGGATAGAAAAAATATAGCAACTGACAAGCCTGATTTTCTGTCTTAGGCTTATGTCGTGACTGCAGAAGACCTTTTTCATTTTGAAGAATGCTGTTCGAGCTTTCTCTATCCTTGTCTTTACTTCAGTGGTCATGTCCCAGCTTTCATGTAAATTAGAACTGAGGTGCGTGATCCTTTCAGCTTTTTCTAGTGGTATTCCTTCTGAATTTATTGGTGGTAAATTTACATTAAAAAAATTATAAATGGAACTCATCCCTAGAAGTTTTTGTTTCCTCAGCACTGGAATGCTCAGGGAATCACAATGTTACAAGTCACATGAGGAATCAAGGAAGTGGCCATTCGAAAGAGACTTGGGTTAGGAAGGGCTCTCCTGATGTTGCTGTTACTGCAAAACACTGTGTCAGGTGTAGGAAACCATGAACTGGGATACTGCTTCCTAACCCCTGCAAAACCTCTGGTGGCACAGTGGTTAGAGTGCAGTATTGCAGGCTAACTCTGCCCACAGTCTGGAGTCTTAGGCTGCACTGAGTTAGTACCAATTTATAATGCCTAGATAAGACCACACTTGAAATATTGCATCCAGTTTTGGTTGCCACCATATAAAAAAGAAACAGACTCTAGAAAGAGTGCAGAAAAGAGCAACAAAGATGATTGGGGGACTGGAGGCTGAAACAAATGAAGAACGTTCAGAAATTGTGTATGTCTAGTGTAATGAAAAGAAGGACAGTGGTAGCAGTGTTCGAATATCTAAGGGGCTGCCACAAAGAAAAGGGGGACAACCTATTCTTCAAAGCACCTGAAGGCAGGACAAGAAGAAATGGATGGAAACTGGGTTATATAAGCAGAGGCATAGAATCAAGATCACGTGAAGTATGAGTACTGCTTTATAAAAACCTAGTAAGCCCACACTTGGAGTACTGCAGCCAATTTTGGTCGCCATATCACAAAAAAGATGTTGAGAGTTTGGAAAAAATTCAGAGAAGAGCAACTAAGATGATTAAAGGCCTGGAGACTAAAACATACCAAGAACGCCTGCAGGACTTGGGTTTGGCTAGTCTAAAGAAAAGAAGAAATAGGGGAGACATGATAGCAGTGTTCCAGTATTTGAGAGGCTGTCACCAAGAAGAGGGGATCACGTTAGTCACCAAAGCACCAGAGGGAAGGACGAGAAACCATGGTTGGAAACTGATCAAAGAGAGGAAGCAACCTGGAATTAAGGAGAAACTTCACACTTTTACACTAAAAATTAAAAAAAATTTTCAATTCACCAACAATTTTTTAAAAATAAAGAAATTATTTACCTTTTTCACCTAGTCAATCACTGTACACATACCCACACATGTCAGTTGTGTAATCAAACAACAGTCGCCACACACAGTAAGCACTCAGCATGCGACCACACGACCAATCACAAGCCGAGCAGTGCCACAAGTCGAGCAGCGCCATCACAACCAGCACGGACAAAGTACGCATGCATCGGACTCGACACCCAAGCAGCCTTCATGCACCATTTTAATGATTTTGCCACCGACCTGCTATGCTCGACAGGGCAATTCTTTATTGTTGCTCGCATATTATATCTTGGGGAGAAAACATGTGTGCGTACTGAATCCATCAGAAACTAGAGCAACAGGTGCTCTCTTGAATCCTGACCCCCAAATATGAAAAGATCTTTGAAGCCAAGAGATGGATGCCAGTTTAAAGCTTAACACTCTTTGTAAATTCATGAAAGGGATGAGATTTATATTGAGTGCTTTCAGGCTGTCACTCATAGAAACAATGCAACAACTCCACACCAGCTTTCCTGAGTTCATCTATCATTAAAAAACAAACAAACAAACCACTGTGCTGAACTGAGTTATTTTGTCTTCAGTTATAGATTGCCAACTCTTTATTTCAGAGAAGATGTAAGCAAATATTTCAAGTAGGAGAGCTTGAACTTCAGGGAGAAGGAGATATTCAATACAAGCAACACTTCATCCCTTTGTAATGAAAGGACAATTTAATAAGCCATACCTATCATCCCTGATTACAAAAATAATATCAGCGGTTTGAATAATATCAGCGGCTTCTGGAAAGTGGATAAAAGCAGGGCTTTTTTTTCATAGAACGCCTAGAACGGAGTTCTGGCACCTTTTTTGGATGGCACCTTATAGGGTAGGCAAGGCGGGTTGTATGACGTGTCTGAGTTCGGGCACCTTTTTTTTTTTTTTTTTTTAGAAAAAAAGCACTGGATAAAAGAAAGTTCTTAACAGGTTTTTGGTTTTGGGTATAGAACTGTGGTGGCAGGGTTATTTCCAATCAGCAAGTTATTCGGCATGTCAGTTCCAGGGGGCACTGTCTGTTATAGAAGACTCCTGTACAGTTCATTCTCTTTTTCTGGTAATGTAGATCATTGCTATGAATAAAGAAAACCAATATCTTTTCAGACTTTAGTCCATCTCAGTCAATTTTTTTAGCGCCTAAATACAAACAATGTTGATTCTCTGCTTGTTCCCTTCTGCAAAGGGGGCCATCATTCTTGGTTATTCTTGACATTTCATAAGTTGGACAATGCCAAGTGGTTATCGTGCCAAATTGGTGTGCTGTTGCATAGCTACTTTATCAAAGTAGAAATAAATATGACATTGAGATTGCCCAGAATAGCAAACGTATATCTTCCTCCCTCTTTATTCTTTGAAATATTATAAGAGAAACGGATGACATGATAGATATATTTATATATTATAAGCACTAAGCTTATATTTTATGTACGAAGATGAAAAATTGTGCGCTCCCTTTTCCCAGACTGGCTAATGAACTGAGACTACACTCCCAGAACTCAACAATCTAAAAGGTACTTACTTTAATAAGGTTGCTCTTACTTTAAGAATTATATAAAAAAGAACAGCATTTATCAAAACAATGAGCAAATGCATACTGTATGTCTCTCATTGCATGGAGAAAATGGACAAATATCTTGCTACTATAAATAGCCTATGTAGGTTTTCATTAATGAGTACACATTAAAAGTAGAGAAATTATTATGTTCTATCCCTAACCTTTCTTCTAATAAATAATGGTAATTAGAGCTTTCAAATTCTTGTTCACCAAATTAACTCTTTCCTGTCTGGATCACAAGAAGAGAAATTTAACATATGCAATTAAATTAAATTATAATTTCCCTTATATCATCAATTGTTTTGAACCATACTATAGTGGATAGAGTAGAATAGAGTTGGAAGGGACCTTGGATGTCTTCTAATCCAACCCCCTATACCATTTTAGATAACTGGCTGTCCAGTATCTTCTTAATAACCTCCAGTGATGAAGCAACCACAACTTCTGAAGGCAAGCTGTTCCATTGTTTAATTGTTCTCACTGTTAGAAAGTTTCTCCTTAATTCCAGGCAGCTTCTCTCCTTGATTAGTTTCCATCCATTGTTTCTTGTCTTGCCTGTTGGTGCTTTGTATAATAGGTTGACCCCCTCAACTTCTTCGAGGTAGTCCCTCAAATACTGGAATAGTGCTATCATGTCCCCCCAGTCCTTCTTTTCTCTAGATTATCCAAACCCAAATCCTGCAACCGGTCTTCATATGTTTTAGTCTCCAGGCTTATGCCTTGCAGTCACATTCATCTTCTTGGCAAACTAGTTTGCTAATTATTACCATACCTTTCCATAACCATTGCTTCCAGCTTAACCACCTACAGATGGATGCAAATTTCAGAAAATCCCATTCCTTCATTCTTATTAAACTCGTGATAAAAAGATAAAGTGTTGTCTTTGGAGATGCACCCAAACATTGGCCAGTCATTTTCAAATTTGTCTATATTTAGAAGGACTATAAATTTGTTGTTGTACCCCTAGAGCAAAATTTTCTAAAACTGAGTGGCTGCTGCTCCTGATTTCTTATTTTATTCTTTGTTTATCTTTCCATTTTGGGATCAGTAAATCCCCAAATGTATACTGAACATACTGAAAATTCATTTGCCCTCAATATTTTACACTGATGCCAGGATTTAGAACTCAGACTAATAGTGTTATGAGTCAGGTCTGCAGGAGGTATGTGCTAAAGGGAACAAAATACATGAGTAAGCTATCACATGGTTCCTTACCCCATTGGAATAATCACTGGGAGTCATTATGGACTACAAATATCATTTCTACTTAATTATGGTTTAATAGGAACCTATCTAAATCTCAGTGCCAGATAAAACATATAAGAGTTTAAAAATAAATCTATAGCAAATCCCAAAGGTGCTTTTTCAAAAGGCAACTAGACTTGTCTTGTTTTTACTTGAAGACATTTCGCTTCTCATCCAAGAAAATTCTTCAGTTCTGACTGAAGAAACTGCTTGGATGAGAAGCAAAATATCTTCAAGAAAAACAAAGTCCATTTGCCTTTTGATTATCCCTTTGGGATAACCGTGACCTGCATGGCTGAAAATCACCATAGACATCTATAGCACATCCTTTCTGTGCATGATGTAGAAAGTTTTTCTAATGTTAGTGAATTTGCTTCCTTGTGCTATTTTTTTTAAAGTCTGTTCTGCAAAATACTTCAGAGAGAGCAAAGGGACTGTTAACATTGTTCACTTTATGATACAAATTCATATGTTTTCCCCTCTATCTACAGGCTGTTATTGCAGGTGTCCTTATTATTCTGGCTGAGAAACAGTGGACTTCGGGATACCTGGTAAATTTATGTAGTTATTCCATGTGATGTCACATTCTAGACAGAATTAAACTAGCATAGATACAAACTGGAAACCAATGGGTTTTTTTTTCTGCCTTAGGATATAAAATAAAAATAATGTTAGGTTTTTTGAGTTCTGTATACACAATTTAAACTTGCCCCAATTTACAAAACTGGGCGAGAGCAAGAGAGATTTATTTCCTGACTTGAAAGAACCGATAAAAGCCACATCAAACAAATCAATTCATTTTAAACAAAATAAATGTTTTGATGCTTTTTTGATGCATAGGAAATGAATAAATGAGATATGCATTTGGGGAATATCAAGTAAACATGAAAGTTCATTCTTATAAGTTCCTTAGAATATGGGTTTGAGGGCATCTCTTTGTCCGCCCAAAGACATTTAAGGTTTTTAAAATTTTATTTTGAAGAATATATGTTTGTGTGATGTGCATAGTTTCAATCACGTCATCACCACCAGCTTCACTTTTTCATTGAAACCCTGGGGACATCCCTGTTCCTCTGAAGAGTAGTGCAAAGGAAAATATTTTATATGGATGGACAGTAATAATACTGGTGGTAAAAAGGACTTGGAATGGAGATTTTTGGGGCCCATCCTCCAAAATCTTCAGCCAGTATAACAGGAAAACCATGTCAGACTTGTGAAAATGTTCATGGCTTGATTGTCTGATTCCTGACATACATGAACATTACATAGAAAATAGTTCAATACCACAGATGCTGACAGCATTATTCTAAGGTGACCAACTTTTTTACAATGAAAAGGAGGACACAAATAAATTGAAGAAAAAAAAATATCGTAAATAAAAGAAACATTTTATTCATTGCAACAATAATACAGACAACTTGCATGTGCAAAGTTTGCCAGCCGAGTGTTTTGGCGCGCTCAGCAGCAATTCCTATTTCAATTTCCTGTTGAAAAAAACCCATCAAAAAAAGGTGCCGGAACGCCGTTCTGAGCGTTCTATGAGAAAAAAAAAAGCCCTGCAGATTAGTCTTCAAATATCGAAAAGGAGGACATGTAGGAGGACACTTTTTGAGGGAGGACAGAACTTACAAAAGGAGGACTGTCCTCCTTAAAGGAGGATGGTTGGTCACCTTTATTATTCTGTGAAGACATGAAAAGTGAAATCAAAAGTTAATTTAGTTTTGAATGTCATAGCCCAGTGATAGCGAACCTTTTAGAGACTGAGTGCCCAAAAACTGGGCCCGCCCCTGCTCCACCCCCTGCCCTGTCCTGCCCCCACCCTGCCTCCACCCCACCTGCCCACAGGGCCACTCAACACCTCCAGGGCCCGCCGCAAATCGCCCAGGCAGCCTAGCAGCGCTATGGTGGCCACGCCCTCTCCCCGCGGACTGCAGCATCAACTATGCACGATGGGGTATGAGTGCAGAGTCTTGTCTACGCTGCCTGGCTGCCATGTCCTTGGCTGCACTGCTCCACATGGGCCACCCTTGGGGGTGACTCTCCTCCAGGGGGGTTGCTGGTGAGGGGGTCATGGGGGAGGCAAGGCTGGGGCAGCAGCATGTGTACCCACAGAGAGGGCTCCAAGTGCTGCCTCTGGCACCAGTGCCATAGGTTCGCCACTACTGTCATAGCCTGTGTTTGTCCAAATTTACACAATAGCAGATCTTGTTTCTTGGCAATAGGTGTTTAAAATTGCAATTTACCTTTCCAAGTTCAGTGTGCTTCTTTTGATTTTTGGTAGTGTTTGTGATTCCGAAGGCATCAAAGAACAAAAACAATGTCAAAAGATAGATGAGAACATCACTAGCTGTTAATAGGCAAAAAGATTGCTTAGGAATCAGCAGAAAGAAACACGACTATTTTGTGACTATTTTATGATGGCCAAATGTGACCACAGACTTTTGTTTCTATTGCAGTGGGAGGCTGCTTTTGCCTTTAGCATCTTCAATGTCATCAGCTCTCCTGTTCAAGGCGCTATCACAATGGCATCTCTTCTTCTGGGCCCCTACTGCTATTATTCTTTTGCTGGGGTTTCAGGTACAAACTACCTCAGTTATGCCATTTCATCATTTTTTCCTTATGGCAAGTTTGCTTCTTCATGCAAAGATCCATTGCATTATGAGTGGTATCACCTGGTGCTGCAAATTCTAGACCTCATTTCTGGCCTTGTCATTCTAAGTGCATCTTTGATCACTGTGGTCAAGCTCACAACAAGACTCTTCCAATTTGGACATTTAAATGTGAGTATTAATCCAGAGCTGGGGTAGTTATTGCCAAGCGCATTAAGATCCGTTCATATAGTGAGGGCTTTTGCACCGATCCCATGGATCAATTAAAATCTATCCCATTTTAACATGTCTTTTTGAAAGGTGGCTTTTTGTCCTTTTTCGCATGGCTTTGTTTTAAAATATCTAGAAGATCAGAGGCTGAGGAAATTGAGTTGAATATGTTTACTTAATTGCTCAAAATGGCCTTACTTTTCTTCCTTTTATATTTGGGATGTTGAAGTGTTAGTACCACTTTATAATGCCCTGGTAAGACCACACTTGGACTATTACATCCAGTTTTGGTTGCCATCATATAAAAAAGATGTTGAGACTCTAGAACAGGGGTATCAAACTGCCGGCCTGTGGGCCGGACGCGTCATCGCGAAACCGCGCCCACCCCATTGCCGGCAATGGCAAAAAAGTTCTGATACATAGCGTGACGTCGCGAGTTTGACATGTCTGCTCCAGAAAGAGTGCAGAGAAGAACAACAAAGATGATCAGGGGACTAGAGGCTAAAACATATAAAGAACAGTTGCTGGAATTGGTTTTGTCTAGTTTAATTTTAAAAAAAGGACTAGGGGGTGACATGATAGCAGTGTTCCAATATTTGAGGGCCTGTCACAAAGAAGAGGGGGTCAACCTATTCTCCAAATCATCTGAAGACAGAAGCAAGGGATGGAAACTAATCAAGGAAAGAAGCAACATAAAACTAGGGAGAAATTTCCTGATAGAACAATTAATCAGTGGAACAACATGCCTCCAGAAGTTGTGAATGCTCCAACACTGGAAGTTTTAAAGAAGAGATTGGAGAACCTTTTGTCTGAAATGGTATAAGGTTTCCTGCCTGAGCAGAGGGTTGGACTGGAAGATCTCCAAGATCCCTTCCAACTCTGTTATTTAAAATATCCACCTGTTCCCAATAGCCTGAGGCCATTGTGAATACTATCTCATCATTGCTTCTTAAGGTGCCAAGATGTTTCAGATTAAAAGCTATCAACCCTCCTTGCACCACATGATGTTATACAGGAGGAGTCAATAAGATGTTAGCTTTCTGGATCTACTGGGAGCAAAATTCCCATTTTTTTTCTTTACATTAGGTGGTGGCTGGTGTCTTTTTTTTTTCATATTTAGTAGCCTTGTGTGTTTTTTTCTTTTGCACCTAAAGTTGAACCTGTCTTAGATATCAGGATTTATTTATTTATTTACACTGGAATCTGTCTTCCTGTAACTTAAATCCATCCTGTGTTTGGAACGCAACAATGAGCAACTCCATGCTTTCTTCTACATTAGAGCCTTTAAGACAGTTCTTAAACATGGGTAATTATCTCCAGAGGGCTAATTTGGGCTTATCTTGGGAGTAATGGAGCAGTTTACAATTGATTGTGAGTTAAAAATCCAGTTTGGAAATGATGTTGCTGAAAAGTTGTATTGTCTGTATTTTTCTTTTGGGTGTGTTTGTGTGAAGGCAGTAATGGCATTATTCATGACCAGGAAAAGAGGTCATTGGGCCAAACAGTTTAAGAACCATTACTTTAAGATGTTTGAATGTTACTATTATCCTGCTTCCCATCATACTGAGAAGCTCGACACCATCAACCTCAGTCTCTCTCCCTGGAGAACTTCGCTTCTTCCAGTTTCTTTGAATCAGATACAATATTTAAGACAGAGTCTGCTTGATGAGTGCAAAATACATCTAGTTCCATCTAGTTCTGTGTCATCTGTGTCAGTTTAATAAACTCTGACTCCACTTTTTCATCCAAGTCAGTAATGAAAAGGTTGATGGAAATTGGGCTGAGCAGTTGAAGCCTATCTGATATACCACTCTAATTTGATAAAAAAAACTGCTGATGACTATGCTTTGAGTAGCAGTTTCAAGCTATCTATGGACCTACTTATGCCATCCAGCCTACATTTAACCAGATTGCTAGCCAGAACGTTGTATGATATTCTGTTATTTGCTTTGCTCCCTATTATTTTTTCTGAGGCTTTACTAAATAAGGAAACAGTGCTACTTCAATGAATCCAGGCCTGGAAGTCAAAAATTCAGAATTAAACAGCTGGGTGTTAAAAATAAGAACAAGAAATCTGCAAACCACTAAACTATGCAGTTGTTTATCTCTCTCAAGGGCCTTATTTATAGCATTCCAGAATCGTTGGCCTTCTTCACAGGAGACCTGAAATGACCTTTCACAATTATTGGGAAAATTGATGATTTTCTACCCCACTTTCCTGCTTCTTGATCCAGAAGCAATAAGATCAACCAGTTCCTTTCCTTCTTCTTTGGGTCTGCAATAGAAATATCAGTAGAACTACTCATAGGCTTTAAGCCAAAAGTGGAGTGTAATGCCTTGAAAACCAATATGCACTGAGTATGTGTGTGTATTTAATCATTAAACAGCCTATGAATTTGAATTTGAGAACATAGTTCTGACAGCTGCAGGATTATAGCTCTACTTAATGCACAGCAGTTCCTAAGGCACGTTAGATCCAGATAGGATGATCCAGTACTGTTTCTACCAAATTTAAATCAAGCATGCAGGAACTGGACATGGACATGGAATTTTTATTTCGGTAGAGCTGGGCAGGTAAGAAGAAAATGTTCAATATTTCTTCCCTTCCCTTCCCTCTGCTCCTCCTCTCCAGTCTCTTACTGCTTTTCTCTCAATAGAAATTAGAGCCTCACCAAGGAAAACAACAAAACCCTATAGAGAAGAGCAAGCATTAGTGCATTTGTTTATAGGATTCTGGTTTTAGCTTTGTTCTCATTATGAACTAAGATCTCAAGCTCATCAGTCAGACAGGAATGAGCAGGATAATTATCTTGGAAGCCGATTTATGTTCCACATCACACTAAGAATAAACTATGGACTTCATAAAGCAAAGTAGTTTCTAAATCTACAACAGAAAACCAATCAAGGTTTTCTGATTCACATTGCTCTGTCAGCAGCAACACCTAAAATAGATTTTATTAAATTTATGTATTTATTAAATTTGTTTGCCATCCATCTCACCACAATAATACCTAAATAGGTTGTTAAAAAATCTAGTTTTAGAAAAACCAGAAGTAGGATTGGGATGATCTGCCATATTATAGCCCAGTGATGGCGAACCTTTTCGAGACCGAGTGCCCAAACTGCAACCCAAAACCCACTTATGTATTGTCAGGTGCCAAGTAGGCATGGCCCATTGGGGGGGTGCGGTCCATAGGGTGAGTGTGGTCCATTGGGTGGGTGTGGTCCATTGGGTGGGCGTGGCTGTGGTCGTAACGGCAGACTGGGTGGGACTAAAAAGTTCAATCAATCAATTCCAACTTTGCAAGATCTTTTTTCCCCCGCGAGAAGTTGTAATTGATTGATTGATTGAACCTTTTTTTTTTTTTGCACATGGCAGAGGCCTAAAGCGAAAAGGTTTTATAAAACCCAGGTGAAGGCCTAGGACTGGGGCGACGGTGCATGTGCCCACAAAGAGGGCTCTGCGTGCTACCTGTGGCACACATGCCGTAGGTTCACTACCATGTTTATAGCCTGTTCCTTTAAATCTTAGAAGATGTCTTAGTCCAGTGGTTCTCAACCTTTCTAATGCCGCGATCCCATAATACAGTTCCCCATGTTGTGGTGACCCCCAACCACTTATACATCATCGGGTGCCGGGGCGTGGCCAAAGAAAAGGGGGAAAAATGGCGGACAGCCTTGTTTGGCGACCCCCGTGAAATGGTCATTTGACCCCAAATGGGGTCCCGACTCACAGGTTGAGAACCACTGGACTAGAACATCTTTAAGGTCCCTTCCAGCCCTATGATTCCACGATTCTGATTCTATGAACATTATACTTTATTCTGTGTTGGTCACACCCTACCAAGATCCTGAACCTTCATTTTGGGCCCCACAGTTTAAAAAAGAACTCAGAAAAATTGCAAGAGATCCAGAGAAAGACCAGAGAGGCGATCAAGAGCTTAAAATGGAATCTTAGAATAATAGAGCTGGAAGGGACCATGGAGGTCTTCTAGTCCAACCCCCTGCTCAAGCAGGAAGCCCTGTGTCATTTCAGACAAATGGTTGTCCCATCTCTTTTTAAAAGCCTTCAGTGATAGAGCACCCACAACCTCTGAAGGCAATCCGTTCCATTGGTTGATTGCTCTCACCGTTAGGAAATTTCTCCTTAATTTTAGGTTGCTTCTCTCCTTGGTTAGTTTCTTGTCTTGCCTTTTGGTGCTTTGGAAAATAGTTTACTCCCCTCGTCTTTCTAGGAGCCCCACAAATATTGGAACACTGCTATCAGGTCCCCCCAGCCCTTCTTTTCATTAGACTAGACATTTTACATGGAAAGATTGAGGGAAATGGAGATGTTTAGCTTTGAAAAAAAAAAGTGATGAAGAGGATGTGCATTTGCTCATTTCCAAGCCGATGACACTGGCTGAGGGTGTTTTCATTGGGATTTCCATATTAAGCAAGTGATTGGACTTTATGGCAGTGGTTCTCAACCTTTTTAATGCCGCGACCCCCAACTGGTCGTAAGTCGAGGACTACTCAACCAGTCGTAAGTCAAGGACTACTCAACTGGTGCAGCACCGTTTGCAGAATGGGACTTTTGGCGGGCTCAGCAGGGCAGAGACAGCCTGGACAATTCCTATTGGCTTTTGAAAGCCAATAGAATTAGACTCTATTCAAGAGAGTCTATTCTATTGGCTTTCAAAAGCCAATAGAATAAAAGGGAGTAGCACAGCTAAGGAAAAGGGGGAAAAATGGCGGACTGCGTTGTTTGGCGACCCCCGTGAAATGGTCGTTCGACCCCAAATGGGGTCCCGACCCACAGGTTGAGAACCACTGTCTTAGTCTTTCATATCAGCTAAATGCAATGTGGTTGTGTTTATAATAAACCAGTGGCTTATCCTGGTTATGGGAGCAAAATACTTTTCTAACTGTTTTGAGGGATGTGGCCACATGACAGTGCTTCTATCACATCCATAATCCAC